GTCTCGCTTTTACGCGGATGATTAAATTCTATATCGAAAATGAATCGCTGAATTATTGACTAGTTTAGTGTGCGTTTTGTGTAACCGGCATTCGCCCTTGTTTAAGCAACGCTTTATTATATATTTAACCGCAACAAATTCATACTCGCCTCCCTTTTCCGCCGGCGATATTACGATAATTTAATTATTGTAATATTATCGAACTCTATCGCGACTGCGCATTAGTAATGACGTACAAATAATTCCGCCACCACCGCCACTGTACAATATACGCGGTGTGTAGGGCAAAATAGCTTAATTCGTCCGCACCGGTGCGGCCTTTGTTATTTCCTCGAATAATATTACGGCTCGTTTGTAAATTCAATACGTCGACTTTTTAACTCCTCGCCGACTGTGTGTCGAGTGCCATCGATCGCGGGCTCGTTCCCGGCGTAACAATCATTGCCGTTATGGCCGCCCATCCGCATCGGTATCGCAACCCCCTTCATCCCCCACCCACACGGTCTCATTTCCCGTAACTTATACCTTTTCTCTCGATTGCGTAATTCTAAAGAGATCTACTTTGCGCAATATCTCACGAGGAAATCTGACGTTGCTATCATTTAACGTTCTTCTTTTAACGTTGGACTTAACAATGTTTTCTTAAACTTCGCGATACGGATATATAAATCTACTCGGACTTCCTTCATAAGGAAGATACCGATATAAAGATAACACTAAAACCAAGAACTCATCTTTCTTTCTAGATTCTGATCAACCTATCCTATCGATATCTCTTCTCTCCCCACCCTTCTAAATTCCCCAATTCTAAATAATATTTTAGAATACAATTATTTTTTAGGGAGAATTTTTATAGAGCGTTTCGAAAGATTTTCGCCCAGTTTCAATATGATCTTCCATTAGGAAATGATTGAGAAGGCATTTTTTGCCGGATATATATATGTGAAGCGATCTTTTTACTTGGCGTCTCAGTTCAATAAAAGAATAAAAATTTCGAATAAATTAGTGCGACTCTGATCGACCTTTCTTCTTTTTTTTTTGTTATTCAATTGCAGCGTCCATTCTAAGAAATAATTTGGAAATTTGGACTATTTCGAGAAGAAACGCGGTGTCCATTTGCACAGGTGTCGCGGGACGTCGAGTGGCGGAAATTGTCAGCGGCAAAATTACGGGCGACGGTCGATTCATCGACGTCGAAACAATAACAATCGGCGTATGCCCGACGATGCGGTAATTAAAATAAAATTAATTGGATTGCCCGCGCGCGCACTCGCGGCCGAATCTTTCGAAGGAGATGACTGCACAGCCGTAGGGGTGTTTTGTGCGTTATTGCATATAATGCACTGTTTATTTTGCACTCTCTCTCTCCCTCTCCCTCGCCGTTCATTCCCACCCCCCTTCACTCCCTTCTCTCCGATCCTCCTTTCGGAGCGAGTATGTATTATACGCGAATACGTAGACATATGTGCATGTTATTATGTGTACGGGCAATCCGCTTCTCCTCTCTTCACCCCTCGGGACGATTCTCGCACCGCGAGCTTCCCGAAACCATTGATATGTACACGCAATTCTTATAATAATTTTGATCAGTTTACGAGAAAATATCTCTCCAGCTGTGCGTCGAAAGTATACGAAAGAGAGCATTGAAAATACGAATCTCAATAATTTACTTGAACAGAAAATTATATAAATTTACAAAAAGTATTATTAGGCGAAGAACCTTGATCGAATATGATATTTTTCATTCGTGTGTGTTTAATCTGATCAGTCGATTTTCAATTAATATTGTGAATCTTGTAGAGATTCTAATAAGAGTTTGGTAAAGAGAATAAAAATGGCGGATATATAACTGTTTATCTTTTTCATTTCTTCCTTTTTTATTTTATCCCACTTTTCAAAAATGTACGAAGCTATCTGAACTACATACTGAATGGATCGTAAGTGATGATCAATCAAAAGGCTGATCAGTTTCGATCAGACTCTTAATATTGATCTCTAGAATCTCGTAGCTGTTCTTTTTCTGTTTAAGGCTCATTCTAGAATTGTGTAAGTGTAGTAAGTAGTTGTAAGAATCCAACCAATCGCAGTCGAATACGAGGAGAATATTTAACTGGCTGGTCAATTCTTACAATAACTACGCAAAATTGTAAAATGAACTCAATACGAAAAGATGATTACCGGCGAATTTCTTCGTTTGAAGTTTTTGTAATTGGCTTTCTACTTTCTTTCTTTTAATTTAAATGTTACAACTCTTACCCGTATTACTTTTGACTCCAATCTCCCCTATCTAAGTTTGAAGTTAAGAAATTGATCAATCACAATTAAATTTGAGAAAAATAAAGTTTTGCCTTGAGGTGAACCAATTAGAGGGCCGCATTAGCGTCTTAAGATGGTCATAAAATAAGAACTGAATACTGGCCTATTAATTAATTTCCTATTAGTTAATTTCTTACAGTTTAAGACTCAGATAATGGCTTGTTGTAAAAAAGTCATAATAATGAGACAATACCCTAAGAATTACCCTTCACCGATCATGGTTACTCCCACTTAAAATAGCAGGGGACTGACGATTCCTACAGATCAGTTGTCAAAGTTCTCGGCGGGGAACCCCCGGTACGCAATAATCGATCGTGATAATTCATTGATGTGTATGCTCTCGTGGTTTTAGTCGCGGCACGCAAGCAATCAATCCGCCCCCACGAAGTTTACGTCTTCTAGTGTCTCCATGAACCTTCCATTAAATTTTCACCGGGAATTGTCCAGATTCGACTCGTCCCCCTTTTGGCGAGCCCTTCTATCCGCATTGGAGAACTTCTCTTCGACATGACGCGGCCAGAGCCCGACGGCGAGGATCAGACTGATTCTCGAATTCCACTTCGACTTTGTACATCGCCGGGATTCCCACGGGATATTCTCCGGCCACCCGCGAGAAAGCTCCCGTCGAACAACCATGAGAAAAATCGGTGAAAGCCGTCGTCCGTTTTTCCAAAGACTCGCGTTCGGCGTTCGCGTCGGAAATACTCCGGAATGCGGTAATACTGATGTTAACAATGGCAGATGCTCGTTTCTCAGTCGCGAAAAAAATGAAATACACGTACCTTACGGTCCGTCCTTTACACACGTTGCCGATTCATTCGGCGTTAAAAACTTTACGACGCGCTTTCGCGCAAAACCGCCTCGCTTTGACCGTCGGCGAAACGTAAACTCGCAAACAAACGCGTACAAAAGCTGCGGATATTAATTTCGGTCAGCGCAGCAGTGTACATACGTATTTTTCCTTCGATTTTTGTAAGTTGTTACCCGTTTTTTTTTTTTTCGGTTAACGCATTTTGGCCCACCTGGATAAGCGATTTTTGACGAATATTCACTGATACTCGAGCTGTAACTCCCTGTCTTTAAAGAGAGAACGTCAATGTGCAAAACAGAAGATGAAATCAATCTGTGTGCCTTAAACTGTAATCTAAAAGTAACATTAATGATAAAATTGTAACTGTGTTACTCTGTGTTAACTGTGTAACTCTCTTACATAATAAATAAATACATAATAAAAGCACGAAATTCTCGATCATTTAAAAAATTCGTGTAATTTTTAATTTCCGATCAGAGTGTTCAGAATTTTTCCGGCGTGGTTAAACGATTCGGATGTTTCGAACTTTAACTCTTAAGCTGTTCGGATCTTTCGGGTCTAAGGAACGCGGAAGGGAGAGTCCAAAGCTTGTTTTGGAGAAACGATCTCGGCACTTCCGCCGATCACGGAATCACGACGTGGCGTCACGACTTTGCCGCATTCGAAATACGATTTATTTGTTCGTCATCCGTGCACGAGCAGGGCTCCCAAATCCAATAATGATTTGAATACGGAACGGGCCGGTATGATCGTACGGTTTCGCGTTATTTCGGTCGCGCGCGCGGCGGTATCGCGCTCCCGTAATTTTATAAACACTTTGAAAATCTTGCGTCACCGGCGGGCTTCGCGCGTTCGAGATTGCCTGCCTGCCGTTCCTAGGGCTTCGTCTGCGCCGGCAGTAAAATAATTACAAAATCGTACGCAAACGAAACGGGATAAATCGAGGCTACGCGCCCTCTTCACCCCGCCCAATCGGGTACCCGGTATTTTTTCAGCTTCAGGAAGCCGTCCCGCGTTCTCTCGAGGAACCCCTCCTGTCTCTCTGCGGTCTTCCGAGGGCCTATACAAATTCAAACCAACCATTTTCGAGTGTTTGCCCCCTCTCCCCTTTCTCTCACTTTGAATCCGGATCATATCCGAGCGGATTTGTTCCAAAAGAAGTCTATTGGAAGGTACAATAGTTACGTGTTTAGAGCAATTGTCATCAGAGAGAGAGAGAGAGAGAGTAATAATATTATTACAAACTCATAATTATATTTATATATTATGTGTATACGTTTCTTCTTTTTTTAAAGGATGTCAAGTGGATCCAAACAATCGACATGAAGCTAAGTCCACAACCTTGCTTTAAGAGGCTGTAAGTTGTAAGTGACGATATATCGGCTTTAGAACTTATGCCTTTAGGCCGTAAGAATTGAGTTTTGCTCAATTTGCTGAAGTCTAACAGTTAAAGTCTAAAGCAAAAACAATTTAAAGATGGAAATTATTGTCACTTAATTTCTTTCAACTTATAACTTAAGGCCTCTTAAAGCAAGGTTGTTAAAAAACTGAAATCAGACATCTTTTTATGTCTGTGAGTTAAATATATGTATGTTCGTATTATGTGAAGCTGTCTCTGCTGTCTCGCACGGCGGTTATGTTTGATGTCAAAATTGCAATACGTGACATTTTACATCGACATTAACATTCCCGTTGCATCGGCACACTTTTAAGTCTCGAAAATCTAATACATTAAATTAGCCAAGTATGTAGACACACACAAATATGAATTCTATAACTAAATTTCAATTTCATAACTAAGTTTTTATAATTACGTAATAATATTATGATTAAAAAATTACAATATAAGATTGGTTTATCTCGCCAAAACATCATGGAACCGGAAAGTGATGATCAAAGACCGGAAAATGATGATCAAAGACCGGAAAGTGATGATCAAAGACCGGAAAATGATGATCAAAGACCGGAAAGTGATGATCAAATACCGGATGATCAAAGACCGGATGAACAAAGACATGATCAAACCGAAGATGAGATGGTTATCGATACGGTTAGCAATATTTTGGAGTCTGATGTTTTGGAGTCTGATGTTTTGGAGTCTGATGTTTTGGAGTCTGATGTTTTGGAGTCTGATGTTTTGGAGTCTGATATTTTGGAGTCGGGAGATGTGACGAGCGTTGATCAAATATCTTATAAGAATATTGATGATGAAACGAATGAAGACACTAAGGAGGGGAATCCTTCAATGGACCAGCAGTCTGCTAGCGAAATAAAATCGTAAGGGACGCGTGAGGCTCCTTTTTTTTGAATTGCGAACATTATCTCTCATTTAGATAGATAGACTGATGAATTTGCACAAAGCATCATGTAGATCAGGATCGAATCCGGGGGAAGAAGATAAAGGGAAGGCAATGTCCGACATCACGAGACTATCTGACACGGAAACTAACAAGTGCTTTCCACTCAACTGCTTCGAGTACGAGCGTCGGGCTAGGACGACTGTTGGATTAGGTCGATGCGGAACGACGCGAATCTGGAGAAGCATGAGGGCGAGGCAGCCGGTTAGAAACGGAACGATGCCAGCTCAAATTATTCTAGATTTAATTTAATTTGCATATTTTTTTTTTGCATGTTTCTTTTATCACACCTCTGCGGAACTGAACACTGAGAGAAATGTTTGGTATACGTGACTTACAAAAATTTTCCTTACTCTTTTAATTAAAAAAAATTTTGTTGTTCTAATCAAAATTTGATTAATTTAATTAAATTCTGGTTAAAACAATAAAATTTTTTAATTAAAAAGTAAACAAGTTTTTGTAAATTACACATCATACTCAAAATATTTCTCTCAGCGAAGTCTTATTAAGATTGTATAACTATTGTATAAAGATCATATTTTATTTGATTTACTTAATTCATTATTCTTTACATTGCGGATACATATATGAAGTTCTGTACAAATTTGCGATATTTTCTGCAGACGAGGATACATCGAAGGATGTCGAGAAATGAAAGCGGAAGATTATGGCCGAGTGTACCGCCGCTCTTTGCACGAGATACAGTTATCGGGCTGGAGAAAGAATGGGAAAAGGAAAAACGAAAGAAGCGAAGGGACATTTTCTATGACCTAACGGACGATGACAAGGAGAAATTTCTTCGAAATCAGCAGAGGAGCGACTTTGCTAATCGCAAGGAACTAGGCCACGTACGTGTGCCGGTATCGTATGCGGAATCAAAGAAATTATTATCGGTGGATTGCGCGGTTGGCGACCAACGTCCCGGTTTGGTTGACGGTGATTACATGATTGTGAAGTTGTCGTCCAAGCGTGTTTATGCCTGCGTGGTTCTTCATGGACAGAAGGGTATGAATTTACTGGAAATTAACACGCTGCGAGAACGCGTGAACGCTTGGAAGTTCTGCTTCTATCAAGCGATCGTGGCATTGTTAGCGAAAACTCAGCTCAGGTATTGATATGTCAAGCAGGATAATCGAAACGATAATCTTAGCAAACAACCTGACGATATTTATCGTCATTTTAAATATCAAAATTACGAAAAGTTACGTCAGCTTGTTTTTCAATCGAAACATATGAAGTATTTTAATATATTTTGATGCATATTTTGATTATTCTTACACTCAAAAAGACACTTCTTTTTACAGTCTACTTAATTTATTTATTTAAATACAAATTAAATTATTTCGACTCTCTGTCCGATCAATTTGAGATTTGCTTCTTTTACTCAAAATTTATTTGGAAAGAAAACTCTCGTCAAGGTAAAAGGATACGTGCGTGGAATTTGAGTCAAGCTGCGTGACGTAATTTTAATATCTCGCATTGGAAGAGTGAGAATTTAACTGTACTGTACTTTTACGAGGGTTTGGAATCCATTCAAAGCTGTCATTTCTTTTAAAAACGACATTATTTGCATGGAAGATACAAATACGTGCGGAGCGCTAATATCGATTACATTTACGATCATGCCTGGATGCTCTTCACCCACATCGGCTCGATCAACGTGAAGGCAAAGCAGCGTCTAGACGACGTCGTAGTATACAATTACAAATACAGCGTCGAAGTAGAATTGATCGGGGAACTGAAAGAAGTCGTGGCGCGGGGCGTTTGCGATTCGTATCAAGAGTATGGTACGACATCGCAGATTATATCAAGGAAGGATCCCCTGCAAGTCGAGGTGAAACTCGGACGTGAGAAGGTCAATTTAGCTTACATGCCCGTGCACAGGGACGACTCGCCGAGAAAACTCGAGCAGTGGCTCGACCAAATGATCACGGGGTATCGTGACTATATTTTGCGCACAATCAGATTTTCATTGGCCTTCTGGCAGGATGGTCTGTTTTGGTACCTGTACAATCCCTACCAGTGCAATGAGTATGGCTTGTGGGAAAAAAAAGGTTTCGCCTGCATCGTGAAGTTCTGTTCCAAGGACTCGTTACGGAGACATCTGATGATCCTTATGTTGCAAGGCCACGCCTTCGAGCAGGAGAAATTTCGATTCGATTTTCAATCCAACTATGAAGGTGAGGGGAACGTTTACATCGACGTTGAGCTCTACCACGTGTCTTTCCATTGCTGTCAGCTGGACAATCTAAAGTTACTGCAACGCGGGATGTCCAAGCAGCCGCGACGTGCCGACGAATGTCCGTCGGATACGCTTGAGATCGAGGACCAAGAGGACGAGACTGATCGAGAGGAGGATGAGGAGGGCGATCCGAGGGAGCCAAGGGAGAGAGCAACATGGTTGAAACGTTATCGGCCGACGAGCTGGGGCAAATGCACGTCCGCGAACCGGAAGAGACCAGGCTCGACTGAGGTCACCGCCGCCGGTAAAGCGAGATGGCATCAATACTACGTGGAAGAACCCAACAGGCTGTTCTCCCTGTGGGGCGAGATACACATAACTGACGATATGTTCGACGAGGCGAATCGCGGTATGCAGACGTACGCCTGTTACGTAGTGTGTGCTGGCATGACTAGGATTATGGCGCCGGAATATTGGACCCCGAAGACTCTCGACGCGATCGTTGTGTGCGGGGATCGTTATTACACGCACAGCAAGCATGAGGCCGAGCTCAAGTCTGCCAGCGATGAAAATGCTAATCACTCGTTTAAATATCTCTCCAATTGTTTCGATATCGGTGAGATTGTATTCGAGGCTCGGATGCTGCCGGCCATTAACGGCAGATTGTACGCTGAATCGGACGAGTGCCTGTGGAAGACACTGGAGCGAGTATTCTCGAGTTATCATTTCGCCGTACTGACATGCGAGAGCGCCTGTCTTGGCCTCTTCAAGTTCTGTGGAGCTTACTACGTGTGCGATGTGAATTCGTTTGGCCCGCCGTTCTTCCGGTACGGCCAAGGCGCCGCGTATATGCTCAGAGCCACATCCTTGCGCAAATTTATGACGGTACTCGTGTTGATTATCGGCTCGTCGGAACGCAGCCGATTCAGCCTGAATCCCATCGAAATTCTCAGGATTGTCGAAGTAGACACTGCATTCGACTCTCGTAGAAAACCACGTGACAAAAAATGCCGTTTTACAAGATTAAAGGGGAAAATAACAGGGGGAAAGTTGTCGAGATTTGCGAACGTTGGACAAAAGAAAAAAAAGAATGAATAAGCAGTAAATCCGAACGTGATGTAACGTGATGTAACCGCATATAATAATCGAAAATAATAATCGAGGACTCGATTAAAAAAAAAAATTGTAAATGTGTAAAATTAAAAAAACAAATTTTTTTATTATTTTAAATAAAATTGATAATTAAATTTAATTCATATCGGTGCAATTATTCTGATACAATTGATTGAATTGATTCACTCATAAACTCTCCTATCCTATATCCGGAAAACCGCTGAGCAAAAAGTTCCAAACGCGACGCGTTTCAAAATTTCTAAACGATCGACGGGCTTTAATATTTATGCGTGGTAGAATATCGAAGCTCCGTGTAAACGTTTATATAAACGGGAATGTATTTTCCACAACAGCGAAGCGATTTCAATAAGAAAATATTGTTGTAAAACCGCGTTGCGCTCCAGCAATAACAATAAGCGGTAGTAGAGAAAGAGTATCGGGAGATTTAAAGTTCTCGCGATCTAAATGGACACCTCGCTGCACACTTGTATGTAAATGAGAGAATCCTCGAATAAAGGTATCACATCGAGGTAAATTGATATTACTCTCTTCAGATTAGATTGAAGGTCAATGAAAATCAACCACGAAAAATTCGAGATAAAATAAAATAAATTTAAATTGATTTAATTTGATCTATAATTAATATATATATATATATTGAATCAAGAAATAAACGTGTATTTTAAATCGCAGTACAAACTAACTGGGATGGAGAGAAGCGCGGACAAAATTAATTTTATGTAATTAATTTTACTCTTAACGTCATTGAGATAATCAGAGTTGAAGCAAAAAGAGATTTGATGACGACTCGGTTAACATGGCAATCTACGAATATTTGAATATATACTCTCTAAATTCTTTGGAATGGAATTTCACTCTGGAGAGTGAAAATTGAGTCTTTCCAATTTGGAAAAAGAGTGGCTCAATTTTTATTTTTAAGAGTGAGATTTCATTTTTTAGAATGAGATTCACTCTAAAAGTTTTCAACAGCGTATACATGCGACGCTGTACACGCATCTTGTGTATAAATATCGTCATAAAGCTAGGCGATAGAATTCTTATTTCTTCAATGTACTATAAAAAGGAGACTCTTTCGCGAATGCGTCGAAATGCCTGTTCTACAATTGAATCGCAAGTCGTCAGTCATAAGAAATCGGCCAATCACAGTTGAATGTGACAAAAATAATCAACTACGATCGATTAATTTCTTACAACTTACGTCTTGCAGTAGAACAGACTTAAGGGGACCAGACGACAGACATACCGCACTTCGTGCTTCAATGCAATAATTTATTTCGGTATTGTACACATTCATCGTTAGTCATATTTACAATGGTATTTACAACACAGTCACGTATGTACATGCCCATACACATTGTCGATAAGAGCGTGAAAGCACCGGGCCGTCTTCCGTCGTCCTCGATCTCCTCGATTTACCGATGGACGAGACTCGTGTCTCATCGTCACCACGGCCGCACTACGCTACCTCGAGGTCGGAGCTGTCCGTGTCCTGCTCGAGCTTCTGCTGATGCTGCTGCTGCTGCTGTCTATTCAGACCCAGACGATCGCCTACCATCACCGTCGTCGCGGTGCCACCATCGTCGGTACGCTGACGCTGCTCCAGCTGCAGCTTCCGGATGCGGTCCTGTTCCTCCCGCTTCTGCTTCCGCCACTTGGCGCGACGATTCTTAAACCATACCTGAAATGAATTTTTTTTAATTCAACGCAACGTTCAGAGGGACTCGTCTAAATTAATCGATCATTCGACACAGCTGAAATCGAGCGATTCTTTCTTGGACGATTAAAAATGCATTACTGGTTTCACTTTTCTTGTAGGCATAGATAATGTCTGTAGACTATATCTTTAAATTACAATATAAATTGAATATTGAGAGGAGCTTGTTATTTATGTTGTTTAATTTCAATCATAATAACAAAAGCAATTCAAAATAAAACAAAAACATTCTAGGAAGTGGATAAAATCAAATTGCTTGAAGCAACATTATCAAATGAAGGATTAAATAGGATTTATTTTGCCCGCGAATAAAAGCGTCAGATTGGTGTAAAAGGTTTGCCCTTTTCCATCAAAAGCCTTGCAAAAAAGTTAAAAACTTCTTTAAAAAGAGAGTATATACTAAAGTCCGTGGATGGTTTTGCTTCGATTTTGCAAGTGACAATAACGAGTGAAGTTTATTTTTGTAGCCGTAATTAAAAATACTTAAGAATATATCTATAAATAAAGTAATATAATATAATATAATTACAGCTTTTCTAAAGGTGAAGCATGATGCTACCGATTTTTAGTTGTACGCAATTAAATAAATTAAAGCAAACATTTGCCGGGGAGCCAATTGAACAATATTTGAAAAATATAATGTTTTTTAAATCCTGATTACAGAAAATACATCAACGTGCTACGAGATATTACTTAACGAAGTAAGAAAAGACGCGTGAGAGACATCAAACGATTCCCGCGCACTCGCGGGACATGCATTTGTCCCTCACGCCTGTCTGAATCAATCCGAATGAAAACCGACAATCAATATTCAACCCCTATTCGCTCGTTCGTTTTGCTGCATTAGCTATTGTAATAGCTTAACCCTCGTTCACTTTGAAGAGTTCTCTCAGGTTAAGGACGATGAATGCCAGTTTACTCCTCCCTGAGATGTAAAATTAAATCTGTCACGTTGATTGCGTTTCACGTGAGCCAAGGTGTCTCGTGTCCTGTCAGCGGAAATTTTAATGACAACAGTGTCATGCGTGCTAAATCGATCAATCAGAGAGTCGTATGCCGATGAGATGTGTATCCTGAATAAAGCGTGGGTGCACTGATAATTTCCGAGCTGTTGTTTTTCCCGTGTAGATCCTCGGACCCGTCGAGTCGACGCGATCTTGGAAGCACACAAAACAGTACCTTAGGTTTCTCACCCCCTCCTTCTCCCTTCGGCCCGACCCGTTTCCTAGCTCTTTCTTTGTCCTCTCCTGTGCTCCCTCCATCGGACGCAAGAATCGCTATTCTACTAATTCTGTGCAAACACCGTGGACTCTCGCTCCAAGAGGCGGTCCCGGGTACCAGACACGCAGGTATATGTTGTTCCCGTCTTTAAACAACTCTCGAGACTCGGGGGACTTTTCTTTGGCAAAGCCGACGCGACGCGGGTGGTCCCGCGAGTGTCAATGATTCTCAGAGTCCGTGATTGCTCGACGGAATCGTCGTCGATCCTAGATTCTCCGTTGGACAATTTTACGCAACCCGTTCACAATTCTCGCAGCCCCGGTGTTTTTTGAAACTATTGTGGCAACATCAATCGGTAATTAAAATCAGTAAAATCGAGTTTAATCGATGGTAGCTTTACATTTGGATTAACCGTTTAGACCAATTAGATACAGGAACAAAAAATTTATACAATTTTTATTAGATACTATTCAATTGAGTACTGAAAGTCGACTTTAACATGCGTTAATTACATTTTGAGGAATCATCATTCTAAAAGAAAGGCTCTTTGTGAAATCGAAACATTACAGACAAAATGAATGCGTTGAAATGTACAAAACGGTGTGTACATAAAAGGATACTATTTTCAGTCACGGGGCTACGCTGTGTAAAAAATCACAGAAATCACAATATGTCGCTTACCGTCAGATTGAGAAGCTAGATCGTTAATTACTGGAAAAATAACGCTCGATCGGCGACACAATGAACTTGTTGAAAGGTAAATTTATACGAAATTAACGTGACGCGGAAACGCGCGTTCTCTTTTCCTCCCTCTCTCTCTCTCTCTCTCTTGTCTGCAGAGAGTACACCACTTTAGAGATTATAAATTGTACGATACGCACTATCCAATACACGTGCGCACACACGCGTGTGCGAACGAGAGCGCGCGAGCGTATGTATAATTGAAGTAAACACATTATCGCTAAAGCTTTTAATCTAGCATGCAACTTGTTAGCTCAAGTCGACCGAGGCTCCGATAAATACCCACCGCGGTAAATTTTAATGACCGCGTTAAAATATTATGGGCTTTTATGCATTAGGACGACAAACACAGACCGTTCCATCCCACTCAGGAACGGCCGCGGCGGCGGCGTGAGCGCGTAGTTTGCCGACGTTACATTACAAATTGTGCGTACCGGACCCGGGCCATCCGGACGGTCAATGTTTGTCGATCCGAAATTCAATATTCCGTTCACGGCTCGAGAAAGTAATTTGTCATCGGCAAGCGGCTTTAAGCCCGCCGCTGTAGCTTCACCGACGTTGCTCAGAAACGGTAGTCTCCCGTTTTTCGAAAACGATCACGGACTAATGAGAGGACCCATAATTGTCAACGCGTACTCTTTTCCATGCTATTCTGTTCCTCATCACATCACTATTTGAATTAAATAGTTAAGTGCTTCGCGATTGATTTCGTTTCATAATCAATGCAAAGAAGGGAGTGTCCTCGACCATGATTTTAATAATTAGACCTAACTCTCGCTTTAATTTGACTGTACAATTTTCCGAAATCAATTTAACTATTAAGACGATTGTAACAGTGAATAACTAATTGCGAGTATTAATTGTAACGTTACGTAAACGATTCTAGATTCGAAGGAATCATCATTAACCTTTACAGGACGAGAAAGCCATTATAGTTGAAGCAAGAAATACAAAATGAATTGTAACAAATTTTGCAAGGAAAAGCTGTAAGATTAAAAAAATAGACTCCCGCCTCTAAAGATTAAGATAGAAGTAGTATAGATTCAAGATATCAATAGTAGAAGTGTAAGATTCGACTGACCTCGATCCTTTCTTCCTTGAGGTCGACCTGGAGAGCCAGCTGTTCTCGCAGGAGCACATCAGGATAATGAGTCTTGTCGAAGGTGGCCTCCAATTGTTCCAATTGCTCCTCCGTGAAGATCGTTCGATGGCGACGTTTTCTTTTCGCCATTGGACCCATTCCCGGATTGTTGGGATTTATTTGATAAGGATGACCGGCATGATAAAAAGCCGGCTGTCCGTGAAGGGAAACGCCGGCGGCGGCCATCGCCGCCACGTATCCTCCGGGATACAGTCCCGGATATGCCGCGGCTGAAATCCGGAAACGAATGGAAGAATATGATAAAACTTGCGCCACTTTATTTCGAAATTTCGCTATCCGAGATTTCGGATAGATCCTACACGCCGCGGAATGACAATAAAGATTATCCGCGCGGCCGCCATGCCATTTGAACTTTGCGCCGCATTAAAGATTCAAACGTCCATTCTCGCGTTGGCGATTATAACATTTAGGGGAGCCCTGAAATCGATTGTGCGTCGAGCGATAATTGTAACAATCGCGGTAATTCGGGCACTAAATCGACGCGATTGACAAAAGGATTACATGATCCTTTGCGGTGACGAATCCCAAATATCGGCAGTTTCAACGTTCTCTCGAATCGAGAATTAACGCGATGGAGGAACGTCGCTGTTGGAAACGCGATACTACAAATTTCGCAGACCCCATTCACGCTGTTCGTCTTCTAGCGGGATAAAGAGGTCGCTCGGCACCCCCGTCCCGGGGGACGTTTTACTTTAAAATCTCGAAGAAAGCTGCTTAAACGCGACGTTGCGTATGAAAATGCGGGGACGGTAAAAATTTCTGCTTTTACCCAGCACCGCGGGCTTCTTCCTCACACCCATTCTTTCGCGTTCGCATGCTTCCTTTTCACGTTCTCCGTCTTCTAGCGGGATTGCGGAAGGAGCTAGATCGTTCATGCATGATCGAAACGGATTGCGGATTTCATCTCGCGTATCCCCAATGCGAGAGAGATGCAAGTTACCTTGAAGGAAAAATACCTAAAGCCCCCTGCGGGCATGAAAGAAATTTTGGCGCGTTTCGCACCGGCTCTCTTAGGATTTCGCGCAAGTCTTACATATTTGTATTGTAAAGTGTTAAACGTCTCTATGTTGAACGAAATACGTTTACCGATCTGCAGAAAATTGACGAAATGCAAACGAATTAGATTCTTTGCGCTGTAGAGAGAAGCGAGTTACGTGAGATGAAAAATATAGTCCGCAGAAAATGTGAGATTGTAACGTCGTATAGAAGGAAAAATGCGGACTGTAGTCCCGTGACATTTGTAATTATTTATTCACGTTGTAACGATGAGTTCAAAATTAAAGATATTAATTATGACGTGCTGATTTAGAACAGAAAATCACATGAAGTATAGGATCCATTAATGAAAATAAAACATAATTCGACGTTCAAAATACGTTTAAAATGATAATCTCACTATCGTGCTAACGTAAAAATATTATATCGTGGCAGTGAGCTAGTAAAGAAACATAGTCAACAAAAATGTAATCGGACAAAACGAAACGAATGAAATTTTTCGCTTCGTACGAAATAGAGTCGAATAATCTCTGATCGCTCTGATTTCATTCGGATATGCGCTTTAACACTTTACAGCTCGTCAAATTTTGTTCTCTCATTTCAAAGTTAATAAACGATTTTTTTCAATTTTCTATATCGCTATCAGGGAAATAATTCGCTAATTTACGGAATACAAAAGAATGTGGAGATTGGGCTGTTTCGCCGAATTTTCGATTTTTCATAAAATTGCTGCGAAATTGATGGCCGGCATTCTGAACATTATCGACATTCTCATCCGTATTGCAAAAAAAGATTGCAAAAAACGATATATTGCCCCGATGTCACTTGATAAAACTGTAATATAATCGGAATAAATGCAATTAACATTTCCAACGGCACGCATAAATTAATCGTTCGACCTCGCGTAATTGTTCAACACGAGCGATTTCAAACGCTTCATTTGCCCGAACGCGTTATTATTTCTATCGGTTTCTCGACACAGTTTGAAAACTCCATTTATCATCAACTTGTCGTACGTACAAGTTTAATATAATCCAACAATACGAACTTAATTCGATAACGCGACGATTATATTAATCGAGTTCCATTTAAGTTACGATTATAAACAGTAAAAGACGTGCTTATAGGATTCCAGACATTTCAATGGAGTTAATTATAATTTCATGCATACGAGAACTCGAATGACGAGAGCTCAGAGTCTGAAAATGTAAGAGGCGTCCGGAGGAAGAAAGTCTAAAGGATTAGGCTCGTCTTTTAAACGTCGCGGTTCCTTTGACAGACTTTCAGCCGAAAAGAGGAGTCACGCCGATCCTCGGAGGGCGGTGTATTACCCACCGAGAAAATCCGCCGAGGTGAACGCCAAGTGATGCAGCTGCTGTTGCAACGGATGCATCGTTGCGGTGGTGCGGCCGGCGACCGAATCGATCGTCTCCGGCGTCTGGATCACGGATGCGGCGATGGTGGTGGTGCTCGTGGGTGCAACGACGCTGCCGATCGGCCTCGGTGCCAGGATGCTGTCGATGGTGAAGAGTGAGGTGGGGGACGACATGGTGGAGGCGGAGGTGCCGGTCGAGGGTCGCGAGGGGACGACCGGTTCGCGAACGCCGTGACGGTGCCGTGGCATCGTCTCCTCCGTGCCGATCGGACTCCTGGCGAACGTGCGCTCGTGCGTGGCATCGGCGCCCGTCTCGTTCTGATTGTTGCGTCTCGTCACCACCGATATGTGGTTCTGCGCGTCCGGCGAATAGCTGTACAGATAGCTGTGGCCGTAGCCGGATATACCGGGACCATCCGAGTGCAGCGGACTCGACGGCTCCGTCATGGGCGAGCGTGATCTCGGCGAGTCGCTCGCATAAGTGCTCTCTACCATGTTACGTAACGCGGGATACGAACCCGCGGGATACGGATGTACAGATGGTATCGGCGTTACTCGGAAGCGAGATGCGCGTCGAGCGAGTCTCCGGACCCAGGATGTCAAGACGAAGGATACGGGCTCGTTCTATCCTCGTCCTCCGGCGACGTTACGTTCTCGCTCGCATCGTAAAACGGATGTATATCCGGTGTGGATCCGCGTTCCCGACTTTCTCGCGAATTTTAAGCACCGCGCAGCGAACGGGATCTTTTTTCTTTCTTTCTTTCTTTCTTTCTTTCCTTTATAGCCGGATGGGATGAATCTTGTCCCGTAGAGATAGGAGGCTCCCGCCTCGCAGACGATCGCTCACCGGCGTCGAATCATCGGCGTTCAACATCGAGACGGAAGAGACGAGACGAGTCGTGTCGCGAGACGGGAAAGGCGCGAATCCGATCCGAATCTCTTCTCCACGGGGAGATCCCACGGGGAGATGTTCGAGATCTACCCCCCGCTCGCTCGCCGTTGGTGTCCGCACTTTATCCACTTCGGACCAGGTCGGCGTCGGCGTCGGCGTCGGCGTCGGTCGCAGGCAGGGGCGCCTACCGTCGCGCGTCGCGGACACGAAGTGACATCTCCCCGATAAAGAGTATACGTGGACTAACCAACAAGGCTTCCCGTGAGCCGCGCCAGCCGCGTCGGTGGCGGACAGAGAGACACCCTCGGGTGCCACATCGGGTTGGCGTGCGTTGTCCGCGATCGGGGCGTGGTCCTATCTGGCTCCGACCACTTTTCCACCACCCGGTCGCACGGCTCTCTCTCTCCGCGATACCTCTCTCGCATCCCCTTCCCATTCACGTTACGAAACGCGGCCGCGAGGGAGGGCGAGACAGGACGAGCGGAGGGCCGACGACGACGACGACGATGACGACGACGACGACGACGACGAGGTTCAGCTCTCGCGCGGAGGGTGCGATCACGTCGCGTCGCGACGCTCATGGGTGGGGGGATCGCACCCCTTTCGGATGCCGCGCCGCGGCAACAGACACACGCGAGGCAAACGCGCGAGCCGAGAGGGTGGTCGCGAAATAACCCTCTGATATGGAGAGAGAAAGAGAGAAGGAATGAGAGAAAGCGTCGCGGAAGCGAACGACATATTTGTCGATGCATATTACGAAGGTTACCGAACCTCTCTCGCCTCTCGTCGCCGTCGCCGTCGCTCGACCATGCGATTGAATCGAAGAGCTTATTTTTGCAAATTGTCTTAAATCTGTATTTTTCGACAATGGAGACGTATTAGAAAATATTCCAATGACTTCAGTACGTAATCTCCATTTATAAAACAAATATGTATTTAAATGATATTTTTTAAAAGACCTTCTCTTTGTAATTGTAATTCGACTTTAGACGTTTGTCAATATTTGTTTTATTAATCATTGATTATATGCTGCTCGTTTAAGAAACAGCGGCATATCGTAACGCAGCATCCAGCATCGCACAAAAGAAGATTATCTAACTTTGACTTTTCACTCTTAACATGAAAATAACAAATTAAAAATTCCAGTTTCTAATTCTAATTATAATAGAGTATTTCACGACTTAAAATTTTATGTATTTTATGTAATCATTGAGAAGGATTATTGCAAAAATGACTCGTGCAATCTTCCAATCTTTTATGTTCTTTTTGCAAATCGCAGGTATCAAATAAAAATTTTAATAAAAAGGGAAAGAATTAGAAACATGTATCAGTAAAAGATTTGTCATTTTTTTGTTAAATAAAGTTTGAAACAAAATTTTAGCGAAATCGAAGCAAGTTTACCATTGGATTTCAATATACTCACTTTTTCCATTTAGAGAGAAATTTTTCAATTTCTTTTCCGAAAAAAACTTTAATTTTTAAATTTTTATTTGATTTAAAAGCTCGATCTTTTACATCTGTGTTATCTATTTTTATTCTTTTCAAATTTCATTTTGCAAACAGTTCTGCTTTTTTATAGTTATTCAAAAATAGACTTATAGATATTTTTGCTAAGTTTTTTCAAATTCAGCAGAGAAGCTATCATCAGAGAATTAAGATCGCAGGTGCCGAAATTATACACGTTTATGTACTAATATTAATTTCGTTATAATTTCATTGATCGTACGACAAAATGCTCTTCCGTCAGACATTTATTATCATCCCTTTGAATACGTACCACTCTTCCTAACGTGCAGCTTGTATTCAGGAAATCAATAATTGCTAATCTTAGGTGAGATTAGACATTTGCGACCAGTAATCTTAAATAATCGAATCGATCTGTCGACATTATGAGATCAAATAGCGATCGCAAACGCCAATACGAACGCGATGAACCCTACGTGAAAATTCAGGCGTCGGTAGATCTGGATTATGGCGGTTGCGCGTTGCCAAAGAGAGACAGAGACACAGAAAGAGAGAGAGAGAGAGAGAGAGAGAGAGGGGAGAAGGAGAGAGAACCATACCTACCTATCTAGCGAATCCGCGCGGATCCGTTCAATTATTCAAATCCCAGCCAATGCATCCGTATTAATAACATAAAACCGTTGTAATGTGCATTGACTGTCGTCCCCTCTTCCCCCCTCCGCCCCTCCTTCAGCAAGCGAGAGGGTACAAGGGGGTATATCGTAATACACGCGGAGAATCGAGCGTGAAAAGCGCTTTCTCTCCCCCCCCCTCTCCCCCCACTCTGTCTTTCTTTTTCTGAAACGCGTATGGACCTCGAACATTGTAGAACGTAGGTACCCCCCCCCCCGCGCGCGCGGCCACCCGTATCTACCCCTCGCGACGAGCCCCTCCTTTCGATAAACCCCTCCCGGTCGAGGTATCGGCCTCCCTGATGCTGCGGTCCGCTCGGGCGCAGCGAGATCCACGTCGGAGCTTAATCCTAATCCGTACGTTAATCGTACGCCCGATCCGGCGAACCGGATCCCACATTCTGCGCGATTCTGTGCACGCGTATTATGCCCGTCTATCTGCCTGTCTACCTACTTATCTACCTACCTACCTACCTACCGGTTTAGGCCGTTGTCGGAACCAGGAGATGGCAGCTTGTCGCGCTCGCGCGAGGATCCCGCGAGGAGAATTCTTGAGAGAAAGAGGGCCTGTCTCTCGCCGCCCTTCTCGCAGTGGACCGGCCATTGTTCGCCGGTACGTCGTGAATTTTGTTAGAGACGGACTGGGAACCGGCCATCGCTAATATATCTCTTGATCTGCCGATGGTCTTTTTGCAATTGCTCGATCCACGCCGAATGAACCGTTCCCTCGAAAACGTGCAAACGGCGAACGGTGTGGAGAGCTGGACGAGTTTACGATTTCGAAATTGGTATTACGAGTCCGGCTTCGAAGTGAAATTCATGAATTATGAATGAGACGCCGCGTCTCTCTCTCTCTCTCTCTCTCTCTCTCTCTTCCTCGAAGGAAGGAGAGGTAACGAAGTTAAGTAAGTTTACTTTGACCGCACGTTCGGCGGGAGGGACGGAACGCGTGCGACGTAAGTCGCGGCCGTCTTGAATACGCAATGAATCTTAATTGAGCGGGCACGGAAAGGAGACGTAAATTGAAAGAGAGATGTAAAGTAAGAATATCGCATCCTCCTCGCATTGTAATACGCATATGTCGTTCGCTTAGCAATTCACACGAATCCTTCGTCGAGGTCATCTCCCTCTCCCTCTCTCTCTCTCTTTCTCCCTCTCGGGCAAGCTTCTCTCGCTTTAAGGAGCGCTCCCGGCGGGGCGGCTTCCACGAAAAAGATTACAATTTTCCCCAGCAATCACGGGGGGATGAATCCTCGGCGCTAATGCAGCGACAATACAGATGTTTTCGCGTCTAAGCGGCGTGCTAAGTGGATCTTGCCCGTTCTCCCCCTCCCCCCCCTCTCTCTCTCTCGCTCTCGCTCTTTCGTTCCTCGTGAGGGCGAATGCGCTGGAAAAAGCACCCGCGTCGATATTCTTAAAGGCGTAGCCGCGGGGTGTCAGGCGGGCCGATACCTGATTTTCTTCAGCTTCCGAAGTCTCTTCTCAGCATCTCATCTCGGACTCGGTTACATTTGACTGCGTGCCTTCCTGCCTTCCCGCGTGCCGACCGAATAATTGAAGTAGGTCGTCCGATAGGACGCGGGCCGCGGCCGTTTAGACGCGCCATTTTCATCCGAAGGGAGGAGAGAGATTTCGTATCCCGGTGAGACGTCCCTTATTGATAGGTATCGCTCGCTAAGACGGACGGCGTGACGTTGTTGACGTTGCCGATCTAAGACATTGTTCGGTTCGCATTTTGAACGATTATTCCGGGCCTGCTGGTCGATTCTTCCGGAATTTCACGCTCGTTTACTTCTTATGCTCTCGAGGAAATGACAAGCATTGAAATGGAAGGCAATTACCGGCCGTGAAGAGTTTTCGATTCGTTCCTCGGCTCTCAATGAGTGAGGAACGTTTTAAATTGTAGTTTTAAAGCGTATTATATTTGGAGAAATATGTAATTGTACATTGTATTTATATTTTGTAAAAATAACTGTGCTTTTTTCTGAACTAATTAATTCTTATTACGTATACATGACATTGTTCTGCAGTATCGCAAAAATCGACATGAAAAAAAAAATTATAGTTTTATTAACTTTCAATACACAGGAGTTTTAGAATACAACTTGTCCAAATTTGTCCAAATATATTATGCGATTGTGCCTCATCTTAATTACGAGCGAAATTCTTAATACTTTAATATTCCTTTAAATTCGTTAGCAGATTTTGTGTAAAACAAGCATCAATGTTTTATATTTTATGTAAAAATACATGAGAATAAGATATTAAATCTTTTATAAAACACTGGTATAAAAATAATCTAAAATAACGAATATTACATCATCATATTACCCTCCTAAATAACTTTAAACTAATGTAAAACATTTTTTCAGAAAACATTTGCAATTCAAGAGAAAACTCATACATCATGTCACTTGAAATAAATCATCCTTATACGTATGGCTCATTATACATGGCGGAAAGCTTGCTGTATAAACAATAGTGAAGAGACTTTTGCGTAACAAACGTAACTTAAACAATTACAGAATTTAATCCCGGGAAACTTTCTCGCGAGAGGGACGGTTTGAAATAAATTTAAAACCATAACCGGAATACGCAAGATGAATGCGACTTATGTTAGAGTGCTCTCTGCCCGCGATCCTTTATCCGTTAATCCCTCGACAGTCCGCGGATTAGCGCGAGTAGTTTTGTAAAAACAACGAGACAACAGCGTAGAAAAAGATCGTAAGCGAGATTACGAGAGAGGATTCCGCGGGAGCGCACTTCCGCCGCGAGTCGCGGAAGTGTCTCGCAAAAATTAATATTTTCACGCCCCGTTTGCACGTTTCGCGCGGCTCATAATGCATTGCGCAAATATTATTTCTACGCCGTGCGCACACGGGATATCCCGCGCACCCTCGCGCTCGCGCATCCTCAAAGGATGCCGAATTTTCGAAAGGACGAGAGGAAAAGGCGGCGAGGCCGCCTCTTGGCCGTGTCTTAATCCATCCGACCGAATCCGGTACGTTGTTCACGTGAGTTCCACAATGGATTAGCGTAGTCGATTACGGTTCCTCGTAAATATTTGCTCGTTCCCGGATTCGGGCGGG